TCCAAGTTTGCTGACTCTACCTTCCAGCATCTGCCGTCCTCAACGTCTCCAAGTTTCTGACAATCTGTCTGTGTATCTCTGACGCTCTCACTCCTTCCTTCCTCTCTCTGTTTCTGGCAACCTTTCGCCCTGCAGATCTGTCTGTCTCTGCGGCTGAGGGTCTCTGGCTCCTTCTCCCAGCAACCTGTCCCCCTCCTGCCCTCAGGCAATCTGTCTCTGTGTTCAGGTTCCCTACGCCCCTTGCTGTGTGGATCTTTCACATAAGACAGTGCCAGGGAGGTGGGGGGAAGGATATGGTTTGAGCGTGTTAGTGTGTGAATGTGCAGTGTGAGTATATTCTCTCTGTGTGTGGTTCTGATATTACAGCTGCTGCTAACGGTTGCTAACACTCTCTCTCTCCCTCTCTCTGTCTTGCACCCTCGCAGTGCCACGCGATTATTTTGCGATGTTTATAACACCCAGAGCAAGACCTACTGCAAGAGGCTGCAGGTTCTGTGCCCTGAACATTCCCGGGACCCCAAGGTAATGTGTGGATGAGGTTCCTCTCTCTCCATCTTTAATTAGAATCGCTGAGTCAGAGCACCTGCTGGGTTCCTCGGAGATTGATGGGTGACGATGGAGAGGGAGCTTTACCCTGCATCTAAACCCGTGCTGTCCCTGGGAGTGTTCGATGGCAGCACGGTGTAGAGGGAGCTTTACTCTGTATCTAACTGCTGTGCTGTGTATCTGTGTTGGTTGCAAGGTGTCAGCAGACGAGGTGTGTGGTTGCCCCATAGTGAAGGATGTGTTTGAGCTGACTGGTGATTTCTGCCGGGTGGCGAAACGGAAATGCAACAAACATTACTGCTGGGAGAAACTCCGCAGAGCCGAGGTCGACCTGGAACGGGTACGGGTGGTAAGTATCCCTACTGATGTTAATCCCTCTCCCCTCTCCCTCACACACTGTCACTCAGTAACCCCTGTTCCCCCCGCCCCCCGCAGCGCTCTGTGTTACAGACTGTATCCGTACTGATGTTAATCCCTCTACCTCACACTGTCACTCAGTAACCCCTCT